CTCTAGTGCAAGGCTGGTGGAGCCACTTTTATGCAGAGATGTAATATAAAACAGGATCTGAGGCGTAGCCAGTTCTTGGCCGATAGATGTAGCGTCCTTGGCCAGGATTTGCAAATGTTTTGAGCGTGTAGCCTGGTCAGACTCTCCTATTGCTTGTGAATCCCATATTGTTTCGAGTGCCCTCTCAGGCATTATTGTCAAAAACCCTGGGATGGTCTGCTTGCATCGTCGGTACCACTTCCATAAGTCCTGTCGAGCCCGCTCGTCTGACATCTTTTCTTGGAGTAGTCGTAGAGAATTATTGAACTTTATAACGTAAGGATGAGCTTCTGCTCCTGCACGCTTTGCTGCGGCAGATCGTCTGGCAGCTATTTTTCGCCGATTTTTGACGCCATCCTCCCAGTTCTCTTCTTCCATCGCGAGGCCTTCAAACTCCTCTCGTAGCATATCATCAAGCTCTTTGTCAAAAACTTGCTCCAACCCGGCCTCTTCTGCTGGCTCGGGATTTTCCTCGTCATATTTTTTCAGAGCTTCTAGAGCAATCTTCCTTTCCTTTTCTGGCAAACTCTTGATGAAAGGGCTGTTGGGAGCAAAAGGTCCCTCCTCCAAGACCTTCAATTCATCCTGGATCTTAGCGAGCTCCTTTTTGACCTCATCTCGTTCCTCATTCTGTTCGGCTTCGGGGTCGATTTTTCGACGTGTTTTGCTTTCGGGGGATTCTTGTTCGTAGAATGTGACTTTGTCGTTCGGTCCGCCAAAATTAAGACGCCGCGGAGCTACGGCGGAGAAGGTCCGGCGTGGAGCGCGTGTCGATGGGCTGCGGGCCACATGCTGACACCATCGGGCTCCTTGAATAGCCTGGCGCAGCATGAAGTCTGAAGTCTGAAGTCAATCGGTCATCGAATGCGACCAGAAAAGTTGGAGAAGTGAAGAAGTTCAAGTTCGGAAGAGAACCAATTATCGCCTAATTAGGTTTAGCGTTTGTCGCGCTTCCGCCCTTGAAGTCATCCCCATTGCGACAACCAAGCCCTTTCGAGCAGCAGTATGGATGCTGATGGATTGAACGATGCCTTAGGCTTGTCAAATGACAAGCCCCAAAACCTGGTTTGTTTTCGGATCTGGCATGGTATTCTTGGGATTGCGCGCTCACAAATCATCCCAGGGTTCGTACATCTACCAACCACCCAAACACGGAAAATCAGCAGGCGAACGACCTTCAAAGCGCCGCAAAGTCTCGTCAACTACCGGAAGAGATGACCAGGCTGATCAACAGCGCTTTGTGCCCCTTTTAAACGGAGACGAGAACGCCGAGTCCGTCCAATTGCGATATGATACGTATCAGGAGCTTTGGTCAAAGCAAGAAAACAAGATCCAGGTCAGTCGGGCAAATTAATTAAGACCGATAGTGATATATTGCTCACCGGGAGTTTAGAATATCCTCGAGGATGTCGATTCAGCAGTTTTGGCGGATGTGTTGTCCTTTGTCAGAAACACCTCACCTCAGACGTACGTCCCTATCCCGATGCGATCCACGAACGTGCTCTAACTAGGGTTTTAGATGTGATGGATGTATTCCTACAGCTTTGGTGACAGTTGGATCAAATGTTTCCTCGCTTAGCAGATTGCTATCACGGCTTAATGGTCAATTGATATCGACCGAAGAAGGCAGCGTCGTGGTATTGGAATCAGGCGATGCTCCCAATCTGAAAACAACGTTGAAGAACATCATCCGAGCTGCGGTTACAAACACCGATGGCAATGATGGATATCAAAAGTTCCTTACAGATCGTGCTGTATGTCGAATCAAAAACATCGCATTATTGTACTAACCATTCACCAGGGCCCTCGACTTCTCGGTTACGATCTAGATCTTCTTCACGACTATGTGCAGAGAAAGGGGACCAAGAAATTGGTCCTAGCGCTTCGAGATAGCGAGGCTTTTGACCCTGGCCTTTTGACTGATCTTCTGTCTCTATTCAAGTGCGATTGACATTCCAGACTTCGGTCGATCTCCCAACTGACCTTCTACTAGATCATGGCTTGACCGTATACCGTTCACGGTTCTATTAGGCATCTCTACCTCTGTAGAGCTGTTCGAAGGCAGACTGCCTCGCTCGTGCGTTGCTCTCCTTCAAGGGAAGCATTTCGAGGTCCAAGAGGCCGGGAACTGTGTCGACCGCATCTATGAGACTCTGCAGACCGACTCAGGCACCAATCTATGGCTGGGTCGCAACGTTACCAATACTCTGTTTGAAAACACAAGTGACTATTTTCAAAGTCCGGAGGCATTCAGCCGCATGGTCAAGGTGAGAACTATCCCAATGGCTTTAAAACAGAAATCTAATTCGTGCAGTATGCATACATGTCTCATTTCTTTGCAAATCCTCTGTCGGTACTATTAGCCAACCCAGATTCTACGGTTCTCGCCCAAAACAAGCTATGTGAGGCCGTCAGAAACCTGCCATCATTCCGGATGTAAGATTCTCCAATTCCCAGGTTATATCTCAACTAATATGATTCAAGGTTCTGTGAGGATCTAGTCGAAGAAGGCTCTATCAAGCAAATCCGAGATTTGCTAGAGGATGACGAATATCTTATTCAAGAGACGCCCAAGTACCTGGATGCAAACCAGCAAAGAATGCGAGGCATGTTCCAGGCAGTCCGTGTCATATATGTCTGTCTTGAACACACACAGAGCGCGAAAAAGACTACTGTGCCGGACCTTTCTGTTCGCGCACTCTCTGGCGAACTGTCTGAGTCCACTATTGTGGAAGAAATGGTGGCCGCAGCCAAAACCCTAGATTCTGATAAGCTGGATGAACTTCTCGTGCGTCTCAGAGGGATATTAATTAGTCGAGAAGCCGATGCGATTCAAGAAGATCTCAAGACTCTATTGGAAACGTGCCCGGAGTCCGGTCCACTGCGCAGTGGATACAATATCAACAGCACCGTCACAAGAACCACTGTCGTCCAGCAGCGTATCCGGCTAAGCAAAGGCCAAGCCGATCTATCGGAACAAGCTGTGGAATATACCAACATCGTCGACCGACTGGTTGCTCTTTTGCAAGTATATCTCACAGAAACCCTTATCAACCCACAAGATCTGTTTCTACATGAAGCCTTCTTGTTTGATCTGCGGAATCCATTAAAGGAAACATTCGCCCCCAGGCCGCGCTTTGCAATCGAGCGCGCCCTGGCTACTCCCTTTGATTACCTGCTTTCCTCGTCGGATGCCACTATGACAAAGGTCTCGGCCAAGCAACCTGCCACCGCGATACTTTATCAATTGTACCTTGATTCGGGCGCTCTGGTGAATGTTCATGATCTCTGGCAGGCTTTCTATGGTGTCTTTGAAACCGAAGAGGCTGATGGCTGCGATGACCGAGTTGTAATGTCTTTGTTCTATGGCGCTCTATCAGAATTGAAGGCGTTCGGTGTTATCAAGAACAGTCGGAAGAAGACCGACCACTTAGCCAAATCAGCGTGGATGGGGCTTTAGTATTATATTGAGGTTCAAAGAAAATTCATGGCATATCATATTTCTTGCGTGGGGTATCATGGACATAAAGTACAGTAGCTGGAAAGCTAGTTTTGAGAGTCGGTTGGTTGCGTAGTGTTGCAGACAAATTGAAGATCATAAATAATCAACAGGTCGTTGGATTATGTCTCCATTTCCAATTGGCCGTCCACCGTCGCTCAAAACCATAGCTTCTCTCCTGCGTCGGCGAAGCGCTTGCTCTTCGGCACTCCCCTCCTGCTGTCTACGCGAACGAGATCGTCCAAAAGATCCTCCTGCCTCATCCGCGTCTACCATCCACACATCACTGTCCGCATCATCCTCATCGTCCTGGTCATTCTCCTCGATCATGCTGCCCATCAGTCCATGTTTCCGCAGCTGCTTGATTCCATCCGGGTGCGAGGAAAGCGCACTGAAAATCGCGCTCATGACTACATCATCCGACCACCATGTTTTCATGAGGATCACCACATCCCGCCGGCGAGAAGGCTCGGCTGTTGCACACGGGAATGGATATCTGCAGAGCCATCGGCTGATGATCCCCGCCTCCAATGCGTCGGGTATGTTCTCTGGCAACAAGACATTCAAAATGTTCAGCGCCTTCTTTTCTCCCATCGGCCGTGTCTTTGGAAAAATAGGCGAATTGGTCGTTGATGTCTTCTCCACGTGTTCTTCTAGTAGGTTGCAAAGGCAGTTGATAATGGCGGTAAAGGTGGGTACGTCGGCGAGTCGAGTGCAAATCGAGGTTCGAGTGACTGGAAGATAGTATGAGCATCTATATACTGTCAAAATGATGCATATTGGGAAGCATACGGGCCCGGTTAGAAACCAAGAAGTTCAATGCATTCAGAGCTCGCCGTTGGTGAACTTTGTTCTTGGACGCTAGTTCCTCCAATAGCAAATCACGAGTATCTCCCTTGGTAGAACGCTCTGAAATGATGCGCAGCGCCCTGTGTAGTATTAGCTGACGCACAGAGTTCAAAATAACGTTGTTTTAGCGTACGCAGCTCGGAGGTCATGGCTCGTGCTTTGAGAAAGCTTCAAGAGGGTGTCTAACTTGAGAGCTATAGGATTTATTAGTACAGTAATGCATTAGATATAAATATCTGCGCACCTTCTTCTGTTCCCTCGCTAATAATCTTGTCTTCCTTCTCAGTTTGTTTGATTTCTGTCAGGTCAACGACTTGACGGAGGTCTGTAGCGATACCGCGTATGGCAAAGAACAATGAGACGCCTAGGTAAGTTAATCGTCTGAGCCAAAATCGCTTCCTCGGACAAATGCGCCATACCTAGGCATAGCCATAGCACACCATCCCCAGAAAAGGGAGCCATACCGGTTGTGAGAGTTGGAGAGATGCGGAGAACATAATCGGCAGAATATTGATCGACGAAGACCGCGGAGGCGGTGTACCTGATTTTTTTGATGGGAATCACGACGGGGAAAAAAACTCCCAACTCTCGAATTCAAACCCAATCACACAAAATGCCGCCTTCTCAGCTCAAACAGCTGAAGGCTTCTCTCCGTGAAAACGGAGTTCTTGGTCCTCAGAAGTCCAAGAAAGAAAAACGACAAAATGCAAAGACCGGAGTCGGTGCGAAGAATCGCAACCAGCGCGAGGTCGCCTTGCAAGCCATTCGAGATCGATTCAACCCTTTCGAGATCAAGACGATAAACAAATCCAGCAAGTTTGCTGTCACAACCAGAGACGGTAACACGACCGCTGGAGGTGGCGCTCGCCCAGGTGTTACTAAATCACTAGGTGAAGAAAGAGTAGGTTTATCTGCTTTCCTTGAGCATTGCGATTATAAAGCTAACTTTAGTTAGCGACGCGCCACTCTTCTGAAAGAGATGAACAGCCGAAACAAGATCGGTGGACTCATCGATCGCCGGTTCGGTGAGAATGATCCCACCATGACACCCGAGGAACGGGCCGCCGAGAGATTTGCGAGAGAGAGCCAGAGAAAGATGCGGAAGGAGTCCATGTTCAACCTCGAGGATGATGATGATGAGATGCAGCTTACTCACATGGGTCAATCTTTGTCGTTCGATGGAGCGAACCAAGACGACTTCGAGGCCGGAGACTTGGATGACGCGGAATCCGACGAGGAAACGTCGCGGAAACGGAAGCGATTTCCCGATGGTGATGAAAACCAGGATGCGGATCCGGATCAGGATCATGAGGACTTCATTGACTATGGAGACGAAGAACAGCCAGGGCGCAAAAAGACTAAGGCCGAGGTCATGAAAGAAGTCATTGCCAAGTCTAAGTTCTACAAAGCGGAACGGCAACAGACCAAAGATGATGATGAAGACCTACGGGAAGCATTGGATAAGGAACTTCCTGATCTTTTCGAGGCTCTGCGGGGCATCAAGCCTGCAGCCAAGGCGACCAAGGCAGAGGCACCCAGACAGGATTTCTCAGAGATGAACCCAGAGCGTGCTGCTATGCTAGAAGAGTCGCAAAATAGCAAGGATCCAGAGAAGGAATACGATCAGCGCCTTAGACAGATGACATTCGATCAACGATCAAGACCCACAGATCGCACGAAGACCGAAGAGGAGAAGGTGGAGGAAGAGGCTGAGCGGCTCAAGAAACTTGAGAACGATCGCCTCCGACGAATGCGTGGAGAGCAGCTCACTGACGACGAAGAGGACAGTATGGATCAGGACGAAATTCCCGATGATGACGAGTCGGAAATTGACGATGCTACGCATTTCGGCCTTCCAGCTTACCCTAGCGAAACACGCCCTGAACTTGGCGTCGAAGATGAAGATGATTTCATCATCGACGAAGATCTAGTCGAGACAGATTCGAATGCCAGCCTCGACATGGGTGACAGTGACATGGAAGGAGATGAGGAGGCTTCGTCGAGCGATGAGTCTGACGGGCCAGATGGGGAGGACGAGCTCATCAACGGAATGACGCTGCCGACAGAAGATTCCGCTGCGGCTTCGACTGCTGCCGAGATTAACAAGGAAGCAAACGGAAAGCTCGCATTCACGTATCCTTGTCCAAAAGACCATGAGAGCTTCCTGAGTATCACAAAAAACGTACCTGTCGAGGAAATCCCGACTGTTATCCAGCGCATTCGAGCATTGCACCATCCACGGCTTAGGCCTGGAAACAAGGACAAGCTTGGTCGATTTGCTGAAGTTCTTGTCGAGCATGTTTCTTACATGGGTAACGAGACTGAGCAACCTCCATTTGCCATTCTGGAGAGTATCATCCGTCACATTCATTCTTTGGCTAAGACCCATCCTTTGAATGTGACAATTGCGTGCCGAGCCCAACTTCGTGAGATTGGCAAGGAACGCCCACTCAATCTATTACCCGGCGACCTCATCTTGCTTACCGGCCTCTCGACCTTCTTCCCCACATCTGATCACTTCCATACGACAGCCACACCCGCTCATCTATGCCTAGCGCGTTACCTGGGTCAGTGCACCACCGCCTCGCTCACAGACCTTGCAAGTGGTACATATGCCGCGAGTCTTTGTCTCCAATATCAAAAAACCTCGAAGAGATATATGCCCGAGTTTATCAACTACACTCTAAATGCTCTCTGCAATATTGCTCCCACGGAACCGACTGTCAAGTTTGGAGCTTTCCCCTACAGAAAGTCACAGGAATCTGTTCAGCTCGTGCCCTCCAAGAAGGTGACACCTCGCAAGCTGCAATTCCGCGACGTGACCACTTCTCCTTCTGATCCCCAGGCGCAGGAGGAGCTTAAGATCTCCCTCCTCGCTACTCTCGTGTCTCTCCTTGGCTCCGCTTCCGATATTTGGGCCGAGAAATCTGCTTTCACCGAGATCTTCACACCGGTCCGTGCCGTTCTGCAGCACCTCCACCAATCCCTCAGAGGCAAGGTATACTCAGCAGCCCGGGAACCCATCCAGAGCACCCTGAACAAGATCGATTCCCACCTCGCACAAGCTCGTCTTGTTCGTCGTCCGCTGTTTTTGCACGACCACAAACCCTTGGCCATCAAAACAGCCATTCCGAAGTTCGAGGAGAACTTCAACCCAGACAAGCACTACGATCCAGACCGCGAGCGTGCCGAGTCCAACCGTCTCAAGAAGGAGTTCAAGCGCGAGCGCAAGGGTGCCATGCGCGAGCTTCGCAAGGACGCCAGCTTCGTTGCTCGCGAGCAGCTGCGCGAAAAGAAAGAGCGCGATTCCGAGTACGAGAAGAAGTACAAGCGTCTGGTTGCGGAGATTCAGAGCCAGGAGGGCCGTGCTGCCAACGAGTACGAGCGGGCGCGTGGCAGGAAGTAATCTTGCATTTCAACTTATGTTCCACATCTGTTTTTCATATATCACACATGGTTGTACATCCTGTTGGGCTGGTATATATATCATTATTCATCCGGCGTAAGGGTGGGAATAAAAGTCAAGTTCATCAAGATCTACAGTATCTACAAAATCCGCTACCTAGATAGCGGATTTCCTCTGCCACTTCTTGGCCTTCCCTTTCCATCTGAGTGCTAAAAAATAGATATTTTGTTGTTTAGATTCTTTTTATTTGTTGCTCCGTCGGTCTCCTTCGACGGCAATCTTGATCGCATATAATGATTTGCCACTTTGCTTCTATGACCAGCCCAGGTATACAGTATACCTACAAGAGTACGGATCTCGGGTATAAATATACGTCCTATGTCAGGGCACATGGTACTGGACGTCAAATGAAGCTATAAAAACGCAATGGGGTTCAACGAAGCAATGCAACTAGAGTTCAATAAGCACAGAACCTTGGAAGCAAATGTCCACAGATTTGAAAGATCAATGAGTCAAGCCGGAAGGCTCAATGTAACGGACCCTCCCATCTTCTCCTGGATCGAAGCCATGACATCAGGCATGCTTGATGCTAGCCCCAAATTCCATTTGTCTTTCTCCATACCCCCCCACAGCAAACCCTTGACCTCTCCACTCTCGCCGAGAACGAATGAACCAGAGTCCCCGTCCGTGCAGAACGATTCCTCATTTACCCCAGCTCTTTTGCCCACAATGACGAACTCTTGAGTTTCAAGAGCACGCATTTCAACTTTTTGTCCGCTCGGAGTATATCTTACTTCAGGGCCATTCCACTTGCAGTATGCTTTGGGGCCGTTCACTACACCTGCAGTAAAGCCAGAAGTACGACCTTTTTTGCAACACCAATCCCCATCTTTAAGTGACCCAAACTCACTGAGAGGTTTCTTTCCTAGCCAGATTGCAGAATTTTGAGACGGGCTCCATTTCTCTGGCTGGTACTTCTTAGGGACCGATGGCATAAAATTTGGCCTGAAGAACTTTGGCTCGGCGGCTTTAGACATCTGAACGAATGCCCAGTCTATAACGTGACCACCGTGCACTTCATATCCTGACACAAACTGAACATCACCTAGGCTGAACGGCATTCGGTCGACGACTGAACGTAGAAGCAACGCCTCTTGAATAGAATCTTTTGTGTTTGAAAGCGCCTCCAGGATTCCGGGATTTGGTGTAGCTCCGAGTAGCTCTCGCTCTTGCACCTTGGCATTCAGTTCAGTCTCGTGTTCGCGCATTGCCTCTAAGCGCTCGGAAATGTGGGCAGCGGTGGCGTCTTTATCAAGGCCAGATGGCGATTCCATCGTGATTTTGTTGGCCAGAGGGCGCACAGGGGAGGAGCCGAAACGGTCGAGACTTTGGAGGAAATCGTTGCTGTCAGAGGGGCGTTGGGACGGCGATGGCCTGACCACGTGGTAATTGGTCAAAAAACCTCTACGAACGACATCACCGTGAGTCAATGTCACAAACCCGCCAAGCGTTCCGGCGTTTTTGTCTCCTTCAATTCCGATCGAGGATCCCATTCGGGGAACCTCATGCTCTTTGACGTTGTGTGTGAACGGAATGCCGCCTCCATTCAGGAATGACATGGCGCCGGGTAAAAATTCGATGTCAAAGCTGTCCGCTTGTATGTGTGGCAAGAGTCGAGACATGACTTGAAGTCGCAGCTCAAACCAGTTTGTAATCGTCCATGGCTCCACAAATACCACAATGGTCGGCTGCGCCTTGGCTTCATTCGGACCAACGTTGAAGGGGCATAGCATATTGAAGTTGGAACCAAGTGTCTGCTTCAGGATGGCGACAAGATTCTGCATGACTCGGTCGTATGCTTTGACAAGAGGGTGGTTTAAGGCGATAGAGAAAAATGTCGGGTGGTGGCAGAGCTTGTCGTTCGAAATTTCGACATGCACTCTGACCTTGTGTCGACGGAAGAGGCTCAAGATCTCGTCTTTGATAGGGCCAAGAGGAGAGATGTTTGGAGTCGAGGTATCAAGGAGGACACTGAAAATATCGACGGGGATGTCACCACGGGGATACCCCGGCTTGGTCATCCTCCAACACCGATACATCATCATCCCCGGCAGATTGTGTTGGTTCAGTATCGAACTGACTTCAGGGTAGAGTGGCCTGAGTACTTTCTCAAGAGAAGGGAGAACCTCCAGTTTTACTGGCGAAGGAAACCGACTGGGGATACTGGTCGATCGGTAAACTTCGACGCGCTGCAAGTACTGCTCAAGACTCATGTCACCTTCTGCATCATCGGACTCACGAAGGTGGCGGCGTCGTTTTCGAGGAGACAGCGGGGGTGTAGGAAGGCCTGAAGGCCCTAGAGACGGCACTGAGGGGTCCATGACTGAAGATGACGACTGAGAGTGAAGTGATAAACCAGAGTGAAGAAGTGATGATGTACTGGAGTGAACTGATGGTACAAAGTGAAGTGATATACCAGAGTGAAGATTGTAGCAGAAGATGAATAGTGTAAAGACTTGAAGAAACCTGGAAGGGTGGGGAGGGAAGAAGAAGAAGAAGTATGAGAGCCCTGTTTATACCCCAGAGGTTGGCGGATAGGTACCAAGGTTTGTATTGTTCTGTGAACAATAGGATTTGTATTGTTCCGTAAATAACAGGGTTTATATTATTCACAGAACAATAGAGTTTGTATTGTTGTATGAACAATACGGTTTGTATATCTCCCGGCATCCATGGATATGTTGAGAAATTTAGATTGCGTCTGATGTCAGTAGCGAGCCTAGCCACGAGTTTCTGTGTCACAATGCTACACTCGAATTTTTGAAGAAACTGAAAAGCGACATAACATTTTGGGACAAGTCATCTTCAACAATGCAGATTCAATTCACGGACGTCGTTCTTACACATGTGGATTCAAGTCATCGAACTCTTGACAGAAGTGCTACCTGCCATTGGGTAGACTGAAAGCAAGGACCTTGAGTGCCTTGAACAAAAGGACATTCTAGATGTTGAGAAAGAGGCGTTGACGTTGTTTTGAACTCCCTCGGTGGTGAACTCCTGCGTCACTCATGGAGCTGCATTGCGCCTTTAGGGAGGCTCATAGAGCTCAAAAAACGCGATATATATGGCAATGGACGACTTGACATGAAGCCATTTACCGGCGGCTTTACTTCCGCAGCAGGGGACCTTGTCGTGATGATGAAACTTCGACCACCCACCATTCAGACTTTGTTAGCAGACACGCTTCAGTTCTATCTGGAAGGGATTATCTCCCCACCTTCTCCTGTCACTCTCTTGGATTTCTCGGAGGCTGGTGATGATCTCAGGCGGTTACAAACCGGAAAGTCAGCAGGGAAGACTGTGTTAGGTTCCTCTGACGACGATATTGTCTCGGTAGGCCATGTTGAGCTCCCTGATTGAGACTTCCAAGGTTAGAGAATAGAAAGAAAAGAATAAACGAAACAAACAAGCACTTCTTGGTTCCATCTCTAGGCGGAACCCTGGAACCATCAGAATCTTGGTTTGGTGAGGGCATTCTGGTGTTAACCTTGGAATGGACTTTAATTCCCAGGTGACCGCTGTCGCATGCAAGCATTTCAATTGCCTGGAATAGGTCGTGGGGACTAGGCACAAGAGCCCTTTCGAATTGTTCTTCGTCTACTTTAGCGGAGACCGACACTGATTCACGAGTGCTTAGGTGCACTATCGATCTCCTGCTGTAAAGATCCCGTAGATTGAACTACATACGCACCCGGCATAGAAAAACACTATGTAGAGGTACCTAAGTAGTTCATGGTCATTTAGTAGGAGTTCGATTAGTTAAAAGGCCTGACCTCAGTAGATCACAAATTCATTTACTCCCAGGGGTATATATACTGCTACTGCTTCAAATCAAGACCAATGCTAGTCAAATATTCACATCGGCTTCTCTGTGCTTGTGACACCGTCTCCATCTTCGTCTCGTTGGTTCGAATGAAAATCCGCTGATATGCATCACCACCTTGGTCCCAGGTCTGCCATTTCGGACTGGAAGGAAGACGTTTGGTGTTCGGATCTAGAGACGTAATGAAGCTTGTCCAGTAACCCTGCATCACAGGCACGATGGGTGCGTTGGTAGTGTAGTACGAAGCTGGAGCTTTTTGGTTAGTATTGGTCGGACCCCAGATCGCATTGACTTCGATGGTGTGATGTGTGCCCACTCCCGAGCTCTCGTTGGCGGGGTCCTGAACTGCGTAGTGGTAGTTCCAGCTTGGGACACCTGCCGCTACGTAAATAGAAGACAAGTCAATTCCGGGACAGATGTAACGTATTTCGCCGTACGCCGTGCTTGCCGGCCTCCAGTAGGCCCCAGCGCCAGGGAATGTCTCCTTCTGGTTTGGAGTAAGATATATACTGTTGAGCTTGGCAAGTTGGGCCTGTGTTATTGCTGGAAATTGGTTCTGGATGAACGTATCTGCTTCATCGACACTGGAGGTGCTCTTGGGAACGAATTTCGTGCCTTCGTTGGTGTCATCGCCAAATATCACAGGTACCTTGATGAATTTGCCTTCATGGAAGAGGCGGTACGTGTAGTCTGGCACCAGATCCTCATCGATTGTGGGGCTATACAGGTATAACGGCTTCCCCTTTGCTCCTGGGTATGGTCTGTTGATGTTCTTCTGCTGCAAAGCATTGACATCGAGGTTGCGCAGACATGCCAGGGTATTTTGACTACTGTCACATGCAGTTGCAGTTACCAGCGCGTCGTATGCAAATTGACTTTCGGTGACGTTGAGCATCTGGGCAAAGCTCTGTGACTCTGCAGCTGCGGCAACAAACAGGCCTTCGTCTCTGCCACCATACGCCGAGAGCATGAGAGTCACCGAGGCAGCACCTGCACTATCACCGCCAATGACAACATGTTTAGGGTCTCCGCCAAACTGGGATAGTGTCAAAACCAGGTATCAAACAACAAAGCCACGAAAAAAAAAAATGAGGAATGACGGCTTGACCTACTTTGCTGATATGCTCCTGGACCCACTTCAAGGCCTTGCGTTGGTCTTTCAGACCATTGTTCAGACTGGCTCCTTTTTCAACCTCATCTCCGGCAAGAAATCCGTACGGTCCAACCCGATAGTTGAAAGTGACCACGACCATATTGTTTCCGGATGCCTTGATCAACCCAGTGCCGTTATAGTTGGCATTTGAATTAAGTGCAAAGCCTCCTCCTTGGATAAAGAAATAGACAGGCAGTTTGCTTGAGCCTTTTGCTGCGGCTGTGGGAGCATATATATCGAGGAACAGACAATCTTCTGATGTTCCTGCTGGGACTGTCCGGCCTTCGCTTGCTGCTGTGGGGATGCATATACTTCCATGCTAGCAGTGAATAGTCAGTAGCCACCTATAGATAACCGAACACAAGAGATGTATACCTCGGTTGCTTGCTGTATTCCCTTCACAGTCAAAGGATCCTGCGGGGCAGCAAATCGCAGATCACCTACAGGGGGAGCAGCAAATCGCATGCCAAGCCACTGTGTGACTCCGGTGGATAGTGTGCGACCTTCATAGCTAGCATAGCCGAGATCTACCACCGTAGAAGCAGATGCTAGAGATAGCAAAGAGCAGATATACAAGAAAATCGCCATGGTGACTGACAGTCTGATTGTCAACCGGTCGATGCCATGGCTTATAAAGGGTCCCGCGGAGACAAGAGAAAACGCCGAGCATTGTCTATCGAAGTCACGGTGACAATGCACCGAACTCAGCTATTAGACAGTGATACAAAGACAAAGCCCTTGCGCCACTGTTGCTTCATTGAGATATGCAAACAGACGCTTGCGGGGATGTGTCACATGTACAGTAAGGGATCTTTACGGGGAAGAACACCATCCATAATAGACATAATAGGTATGTAATTTTAGCGGTGAGCAGGCTATTTGGCCTCAGAAGTAAGTAACAGGAACGAAAATCATGGTTTAAATGCTCTTGGGAGGTATTTCATTACAAAAGCAACAGTATATCTATATAGTCTTTAAGGTAAGAAACATAAGTGAGACGTTGGGAAACATCTGAAACCATCGAGTCTAAATATATAAACAAAGATAGACAGTGATCCTTGGCATAAATAGCGTCTTTGTTTTGGTCTATAACATATAACTAGCTGATTTTAATCCGAATTTCCACATTTTTCCCCGATAAAAGACCGAAGAAAATGCTACTAAACCTGATATATTTCTTCTTAAGTACTATAATCCCATAATATATGTTATATAGTGTACATTAATAGTGTAATAGCGTTGTATATAATCAGAGCCTCCAAATTAATTAATCAGAGCCCCACCGTAGTTCCCCGCAAAACCCAAAGCGTTTTCTTTGTCCGCCTGCGGATCTCTTCCTCTTCCTCTCTCCCCTTCTTTAGCGTCTAGGCCATACCTTGACTCTTGGCAACCGAAACAATGGCCTCGGAAGATGAAGACGACTACATGAATATGGTCATTGAGGAGCCCACTCAAAAGGAGACCTTCGCACAAAAAAAGCGCCGCGAACTACGAGAGGTGCCGTATCCTTCACATTCTAGCCCAACGCTGTCTCCGGCTAGATTCCAAACCTATTCTAACATTCTTTTCCACATGCAGGCCGAAGCTCGAGGCCGAGTCCCATCGAAAGCCGAACGCGCTGCTCGGGAAGCCGCCCGCCGAGAGGAAGCCTTGGCCACAAGTACCCTCAACCCCACCAACAAAGGATTCCAAATGATGGCAAAGCTTGGCTTTAAGCCTGGTGGGGTGCTTGGCAAGCCTCCTGCAGCGAGCGATTCTGGCAGTGTCACTACCGATTCTTTCCTAAAGGCGCGCGCTGAACCGCTGAACCTAACCATGAAAGAAAACCGCGGCGGAATCGGGTTGGACACTGAAAAAAAACGCAAGCTCCGTGAGGAGGCAGAAGAAGCAGTAAAGAAAATCAAACACGAGGAAGGAAGTTACCGAGACCGCGTTCGTGAAGAGCGCGAGTTGAGACGCATCGAAGCGCAGGTGCGTGCTGCGCAGAAAGTTGCAGAGAGGCTGGATGCGGAATCGGAGAGTGGGGCTATCATCGACGAAGATCAAGAACAAGAAATAGGGTCCTCAGCCAAGTCCAACAAAGAAGGCGGTGACTCCGCAGATCCTAGTCAAGCACGCGACGGACCCAACGCAGCCGCGACAAAGAAGAAGCCAATCAAGCTCACGTCGCAAATCAACGTTCTATACCGAGGTCTCATCCGTGAGCGGGAAAGGAACGACAGTGACCGTCAGACACGCCATGCTCTCCAATCCTCACTCCCTTCTTCATTTTTCCCCAAAGCACGGCTACCAGAATACGATGACCCTACTATGGATCGGGAGGATAAAAAGGCCCTTGGCAGTGAACTGGATCAGAATACCTCCACAATGGAGATAGAGCTGGAAGAAGACGACGAGGAGCTCGATGCCTTCAATGCGTTAGAGCCAGCTGAGCGGTTACGCAAGCTGGTTCTCTTTCTGCGCGAGACATATCGGTATTGTTTCTGGTGCAAATATGCCTATGAAACGGATCTTGAGCTGGAAGGGTGTCCTGGTCTGACCGAGGAGGATCACGATTGATCTCTCAGAAACGTTTGTACCATATGGGAGTATTCTTGACGCGGCAATAAGCTGACCTAGCACATAGCTTCTCCAAACTCTCAGATATCTCTACGAAATGCTACACTTATGTCAAGGAACCCCCCAAAAAAAGAATATCTATTCATATTAACATGCAGCTTCGGTCCTCCTGATTAAAACATAATATATACACGAGCTCTTGGTATCATAAAAAAAGGTATACAGATAAGAAGAAAAATAGAAAACATAGCTGACAACCTTACAGGAACTGTACTTCCTGCGCAAGAGATCATGCAATATATGCTGAGGTCATTCAGGTCAACGCACCACGACCATAACACCACCTTGAGATATCAACAAATCAGACGACCAGCCGATCGACCAGTTCTTCGACGGATCGATTCTTGCATTTTTGCAGAGTCTGATAGCACGACTCGCAGATGCGCAGGCAACAGAACACACAACGGTGCCGGATCTCAATGTCAAATTTCTGACAAGTCATGCACGGCAGCGGACACCACGCATTCTGCGCTACGGGCATAGCGCGGTGTTGCTGGTAGCATGTGAGGTGGATTTCGTTCAATTTCGGCGCCACGGGTTCAACATCCGGTGGTACGAAGGGCGAAGGGGACAGCTCATCGCGTGGCAGTTCAGACACTGTTAGTGGCGGTTCGGCGCTGTCCGGGGTCGGGATGAAGTCTTCCAGCGGGGGGGAGTTGGCCTCGTCGGCCGGAGCTTGGGGCGCGAAATAGTTTGTTGTCTGTTGTTGGGGTACGTGGAAATCGGGCTGTGATTTCTTGTTTCGCAGGCCTGTCATCCGAGGGGGAGGAGACTGCGTTGGATTGGGGACCCGTTCAATTGGGCGTCGTTCTGGGACTGCATTTTGGGAGGGGATCGGAGGGAAGTATGGGTTGTTGGTTGAGGTCTGCGGTGTGGGAATTTCCTCTTTCGGGGGCACTGGGAGGTCCTTGCCCGGCGGGGGCGCCGGCTTCGGTGGTGGAGGGGTAGGGAAGGCTGTCGCTTTAGGCGAAGTTGACTCCCCGGAGGGCACAGGCTCGGTGGGCACAGATTCCGACGATTTCTTCTGGAAAGACTTGAATGCTGCGAGAGAGGGCACGCGAAGGCCACGAGGGCGCTTTTCTGAGTCGAAGATAGCCATATTTTGAATTCCAGTATATACTATCGCTGGATATTACAAAAAAAATCAACGCCACCAGTTCCGATATGGATATGAAGGGGATCGGGCCTCTTAAAGAAGAGAGAGCAATTTAAGGAGAGAAGAATAGGAAGATTAGAGAAAAAAAAGCAAGAAAAGGATTTAATTTAATTAAACAAGTTTTCTCTCTGAATCCACTCGATTGGCAATTGTTAGCCGATCCAATGTGTGCACATATATAAGGATCCCCCAATGCCTATTAAATCACATTCTCTCTGGCTGATCGGATCTATTGGTTGGCCATAACCCCCAATCTATCCTGTTTCAGATAGTCCGTAGTGGGGATTGGATCTGTAGCAATCTAGAAGCGCTAAATAGCTAAATAAATAGATCTATCTACCACAACTTACTAACTAGTACGAAGTAGATTATGCGAGTATGTTACTAGTGAGGTATACTAAGATAAGTGTTGATGTGTTTACCCCTGAACTTATAGTACATTCCTCCTACTGATATCATATCGAGCTCAAATTCCCCATGGCATCATCCCTACTCCGTATGTTGTATATGTTGATGAATTTAGTCTCAAGTCTTGGAATTATACGCTCTTTGCTAGATATTTCAGCCTACAAAATTGTACATTCAAAATCATATCAAATCATTTCATATTTAGCGATCGGGTTCAGCAACGGGTATATACGACCTGCGTTCTCGTGCAGCCTAAATCAGTTAGTCGGGTTTCTCACAGATCTCGCTTTGCATCGACCTACCTCGACATATCGCTCAATCCATGGCTTGCAGGCTGCCCAAGCCAGCAGTCCACCGGTAGCAAAAATAAAAATAAACACCACCGCCTCGTCTTTCCGTGAATCTCGCTCTAGTACCGCAGATCCGTCAGCAAATCTGTTATAGTATCCAATTCGATTTCTCTTGGCTGATTCGCTAGTCCGACAAATCACTTACGGAAGCAAGTCGTATACACATCTTCCTCCTTAGCGCCTTTGCATGTTGGTAGCTCGTAGTCGAGACAGAATTTCCGATTGCAATCATTACAATTCAGAGATCGGTATTTCTCGGCTCGTTTGCTGTATTCATCGGTATGCTCAAGCTCGGAGCTGAGAGAGTCGCGCTCGTAAAAGCGGACGTGGTCGATGCCGGAGGAGCTTTCGGACTTGGCAGGATTGAGGGGGATGATCGTACTATTGGAGAAACAGGTGCATTTGCAGAAGGAGGTTGGTGCTGTTAGCATTGAGTATTAGTATCACATAGATATCGACGCGAAGATGGTAGCAATTCGATCTTCGACTTGGCGCTTCGAGGCATCGGAGAAGAGAGCCTAGCACTTACTAGATGCTGCTACCAATGACGTGAGAGACAAAAATGTGAAAAGCAGCAACAACAGCTGTATGCTGCGCTGTGAGGTCCAGGTCGAAAACATCCTGGGCACGTAGTGGACGATGCGACGAGTCCTAGTTTGGATGAGCTTAATGATGATGAATGCGGGTCACATGACTGTGTACGCAATCCAACAAAGACCATGAGGTTTTTTTATATTTAGATTTGACCAACGTTGGAAACGTCGTTGGCTTAAATTACATAGTATTTGTGTCATTTGAAGGCTACTAGCAGCATAGTTTATGTATAAGCACCACATCAGATCTAGGTACATATTTTGAATCTATGACTTTGCCTTGATTCCCTTCTTCCGGTTGTCTCTCTGTCTCTGTTCCTTAGCAGCATCGCGTCGCCTCTTCTTCCAGGCGCGATTGTTCTCACCACGATTCTCCCAGAACCACTTTGCGAATTCAGTTTCCTCCATGCTTGCACCGGCTTCCGCGCGAGCTTTTTTGACAGGGCTGTCGATCGAGATGTCCTCATCATCCGAGTCCTCACTCTCGTTCCACGTCATGTGTCGATTGGCTGCAGTAGTATCGGGGGTGGGAGCTGCACTGCGCTGACCTCGGTTTTGTAGGTCGTTCTTCGTGAAGGGTGTGAAAGGTGTCTGCGGCTCAGCCATTTGAGACTCGTCCTCGGATTCAATGTCATTACCGAAGAAGCTGAATCCAGCCTCGGCCTCGATTGCCGGCTTATCGGATGTTGTTGGGGCGGGTCGCTTGAAAAGAGCTTCAAGGGGGTGGACTTCCTTGATAGGTGAATCTTTTTTCACTTCTTGCGCAGCCTCCGTGGGTATCTTATCCGAGTCTGACTGGCTCGGTGTATCAGCATCACCGTCGTTAGCCTCTGTAGACTTGGTGGTCTCTTCTTGGGGTTGCGGCTTGACCTCCTCCTCATCGTCAGAGGATGCAGATGAATCTTCGGGGATTTCATCTGCCTTGTTCTCATCGACCTCACTCTCTGAGTCACCGCCCTCGTCTGAAGATGAGCCACTTGATGAGGTGTAATCTTCAGACTCGGAAGATTCCTCTGGAGTCTTTTCTTTGCGCGAACGCTTCTTCGTATCTTTGGTGGCCAAACTGGCAGCTCGGCGCTTCTCCTTAGCCCCTGGGATCTGACCAGGCCGATAGTTATCCTTCGAGATCTTCTCACTGGCGGGTTCTTTCAGATTCCCGGTGGAATCCACCCAGCCTTTTCCATCTTCAAATGTAGCCGTAGGCGCTGCGCTTTCCTCCGCGGTGCGCAGGAAGCTTGGCTGGGTCACCGTTCTCTCAAATTCGTGGATGACATTATCCTTCGACTTCTTCTTCTTCTTTGCCTTCTTATCATCGGAAGCTGCGTCGGATGCTCGGTTGGGTGGGATTGTTGCTCGGAACAGGCATTCGGATTTGTCGGTGTACTTGGACTTGGGTTGCAGTTTCTCCTCCTTGTCCTTTTTGTCCTTCTTCTCCGACTTTCGTCGTTCTTGCTTAGCATCACTGGACTCCGTCCAACCTCGTTTCACTTTGCGGTCGGCGGGAAGCTCAAAGCCTTCCATTACACCGTCATCGGGCGCTTGTTTCTTGGACTTCTTGGACTTCTTCTTGGCACTAGAGGGGGCTTCAGGCACCACATCTTCTTCTTCCCGGTGTCTCTTTTGAGGGCGGGCCGCCTCGACTTTGAACTTCTTGCCCTTGAGGATCGAGCCGTTCAACTTCTTCTTGATCTTCTCCGCTTCCATGTTTGGCAGAGTCACGTATCCGTAGTTATTCTCTGGGAATGTAGAAATCTCGTGGAAAGATATGTCTGTGGCCAAGTTGCGAATAGATGCTGGCAGCACAGACGGAAGGATATCCTGGGTGAAAGGCGTGATATGTAGTCTGGTCGTTTCAGTCATTGCCAGAGGATTCTCGGTAGGAGTGAGAATGAGTAGAGCTATCACTACTGCATGGCCTATGCAGGATGTCAAGGTCCAAAATAATTTTGTGGAAGCTTTGGTCCAACACCGCTCTTCGATCTTTTTTCTTTGGCAAAAAAATAATGTAGACTTATTTATGCCACCGCCTTTTGTATGTAGATTTTATTGGCTGAGGTTGTTCCGAGGTTGATCAAATGTTGGCCTTAAGTGTTGGCCTGAATTGGCCTTGTTGCCTCCAGTAACTAATCAACTAGTTATGCACGTACGGAGTAGTTAACTAACTAGTTGACTTCCACAGTTAATTGTAATATTTTGAGATCTATACTACAATCATTTTGCTACATCTTAGAGCCTATGATGTCTACATCGCACTATCAATAGTGGTGGAAGTGGAGTGTATCTGCCCATGACTTGACAATGACGATGGATCAACTGATGATCTTGAGTTGAGAATTAGTAAAAAGCTTGATATTTATGCTATTTAACCTGTTTATCCTACCTATCATATGCTATAGATATGTATAAATACATGTTATGTGGTTTTGTAGTAATTCCCATAACTAGTCTAGTTAGGCATTATATGAGACAAACAGGTATACTTGCCCCAAGAAAAAAATTTAAAAAATAACAAAAATAACATCCGCCACATCCGGTATTTCTATCTTTCTATCTTTTCTATTGGAATATCAGAATATTGCAATCTCGAATTTGTAAATATTCTTGATATCATTTGGGCCTCATGGAGGTTGTTGTCCTAGAAAGTCTTCACCGATCTCATTTCCCCAGTTACTCCGGACAGATCACAAACCCCCCCCCGCTCTGAAAGTTACTCCTCTTACCTCCACTCTCTCTATTAGCCTCTTCAACTTTTTTAAACCTCTCCATCTTCTTTACACCCATTTCTACTGCCCACCCCCAATACAACCCCCCTTGGGGGCCCTTTCCGCCATATCCCGGAGTTATCACCGTGACTGTCGGAACTGTCGTGGCTGAACCCGACAATCTCGCCATCCTTCCACCTTATTACATCTATCTGGGCTCTAACATGGGAAACTCCCAGACTAAGGAGTCACGCTCCACAGCCCCGTCAGGTCGTCGAAGTCAATTATCCCCGGGCGCTTCCGATGGCTCAAGCCGGCCATATCAAGGTTCTCGTGCAGCAAGAGGCAGTAGGCCCGACCTTTCGATTCTTGGAATCGGCAGCAGTCATGATCGTGAAGTGGCCACGCTGGAGAATCGGCGGGAGACAAAACAAGAGCGTGAGGTCCGCCGCTTGGAGAAGGAACGGGTGGCTCGTCTTAAAGAGAGGGAGCGCAGTATGAAGGAGGAGCATGTCGATGGAGGCTACCTTGTAACGCAGGGCGTATATGTGGGGACAGAAGACTACAATAAGGTAGTGGTGCGCCAACTGATGGTAGGTTTGCTTGGAATCCCCCTAGATGCAATTTAGCCAAGGCTGACCGCGGGTTAGATCGAACGTCGACTGGCTCCCTTCTGGAAAGGCCTTAATGACTTCTCGGAGTCGTGGGCTGAGCATCAGATTATGGCGGCTGCCCGAGGCATGCCCATTCCCCTGCCAGATGAGATCCCGCCCGAGTTGGAGCACAATTTATCCAGGACCGCAGACAAAGCCTCTGCCGATCCGACAAATATCCAGCATCTCACAGTGCCGATAACGTCCAGATCGCAATCTTTTAATTCAGATGCTTCG